ATAAAATCTAAAAAAAAAAAAAGAAAAAGAAAAAAGAAAATATAACTAAGTTACTAAAAAAAAAAGTAAATTAGCAACACTTTTCAGTAAATAGTACACTTAAAAGAATGGGATTCCACTGTGCTTTGGAACGGGGGCATGGGAAATTGAGTAGGTATAGCTGGGATCATGCCAATTCCAGTCACTGTATTTTCATGCAGGAATTGCAAAACTTTTAAGTCCACTTAACAGTGGAGGTAAAAGCCAACAGTGTCATCAGAAAGACTCAAGACCAGCAAACACTATAGGGAATGTTGGCAACCTGTTCCAAAACTTCAAAGTAGATAGCTAGCTTCTTAAAGACACGGGAAACTATGTTCAGCAGTCCAGATAAAAATAATTACTTTCTATGAGACCACTAAAAGCAAAACTGTTAAGGAGTGGTGAGTCAACAGTTTGGATAAAAAGGGGGCGGGACCTATAGAGCCTGCCCAAGACTCAACTCCAGGATTTACAGCGTGTAGTTCGTTGGCAATAGACACTCACTCAGAATCAAGATTCCCATCAAGCTACTAAGAAATCAAATAAAACAATCTGCAAACCTTTTTTCCCCAAAGAGGGGGGAAAAAGTGTATGGGCACAAAGTTAAACCACTGTTCCCACGCTGCCGGTCATTCTCTCCCGCCCAATCTCTGTTCAACCCTTCTGCGGACAGCTGGGGTAACAGAAACCCCGGGAGGGGATCTTAAGGCCATCTCCGGGAGATGCGAAGCGCAAGCACAGGTTTTCCTTTCCTTTCTGAGTCTAGCCCACGTGCACTCAGACGTTCTGCCGTCGGCAAGTCGGAAATATGCCCCTCTCTCAAGAAGAACAACCGACTCCTATTCTAGACCTCATTCAGCGCCCGGGAGAGGCCAATAAGCCGCTCGACGATCTTTCTGAAGCTGTGAGAAACCTGCAGCTCTGGCTCCGTGCTCAGAAAGGGGCGAGACCTCAGCGGGGGCTCTCCGATCATATCACCCTCACCTTATAGAGGATGACAGTCCTGCCGCCATCCGTCACTAGAAACTGGTCTGTTTTGTCGCTCTGCTCCACGCCTAGGAGTCCGTTAGGCCCGGCACCCAAGGGTACCGCAGACAACGTGAAACCCTCTTCCAAGGCTGCCATTTTGGGCAAACCTAGAGATTGCAGCGCATCCCTCCCGACAGGCTTTGCGCTTTCTCTCGCGAGAACTAGAAACCCGACTGGCCAGACACTCGTCAAATAAGAAACCTGTTTGCCGAGCCGGCGACCTCTGGCGAGTGCGGCTGTTGTGCCTGGCTGTGGGCGCCGCCGGGTGGGCGGAGCCGGGACGTTGCTTGTAGACTCCGCCTCCCAGCCACGCCCCTCAGAGTCCCGGATGTACTTCTCCGGAGACAGGGTGGCGGCCTGGGCATCTCTTACCTGTTGTGTACGGCAGCGGCAGCTGCGGCGCACTTTTCCGCTAAGGATTTGAGAGGCTGAAGGGTGGGCGTGGCAACTAGGCAAACAAAAGTAAGCTCCTTTTTCGTTTGTTTTTTTGTTTTGTTTTGTTACTTTAAGTGAACTCTTTGGAAATTCTTTTTTTTTTTTT